CCGCTGCTAAACCGTTTAGAAGGCCAACAAATCATGGATCTGATCCAATTCTTATCAAGCCCAGCATTCTGGTCCGATTCAGAAATTAAACAAAAGTATCTTTTTCCCTCTCGGCCCTAAAATAAATGGGCAAAAATATAGTGGATCAACCCAAGGGAAAAATACACTATCTTTTGGAAAAAATACACTATCTTTTTCCCTCTCCTTTTTAAATATATACAAAATTTAATATAATTCTACTGATTTAATTTCAATGAAAAAAATACACATACAAATTACGATACTTAATCAAATATTTTTAATCTACTAAAAGTCGTTAACAAAATAGGTTAACATTTATGTTTTTTAACTAAGAATCAAAGTTTGATCCCCTTAAACACATAAAATCGTATTTGAAAGTACTATTTTAACCCCATAAAAGTTGATTTAGTGGGAGAGAGTTATAATTTCTTATTAAACAATTTTTTTTTATAAGTTACTACATATAGAAGTAGTTAGAAATTAACAATAGTACAATATAATATAAAAGATGTAATGGTAATTTTTGACAATTTTTTATGGTTACTTGTGAAATTGTGCACCTTCCATTTAGAAAAAAAAAAAAAAAGAGTAACTGAAAATGCCAACTTTTGTAATAATTATTTAAAAATTCATATTTAAAATAAGTATATATTTTTTTTTTTACAATTTAGTGTATCTAAAAAAGGATAGTTATTCTTTACAGGAAGTTAAATTAAATTAAAAAGAGAGTGAACCACTAGGGTTAATTAACCTAGTGGTTGAGGGGTTGTTGTAGATAAACGTGAGAACTTAAATTTGATCTCATTGCTGTTTTTGTAATTTTTTTTATAAAAGAGAGAGAGCTATATGTTAAACGTACAGTGTTATACATGGCACGCAAAATGTCTTTTATGCGTAAAAAGTAATATTAAATAAGATGAGGCAAGGTGGAAGAAAATAAATCACGATTGTAAGATATGATATATTATCTTGGGCACCCTTGAGTCTTGACACACAAAAATAGTGTGGGCCAAGGTCGGCTATCATTTTCTTGGAAACGGTATTAAAAATTGTCTGCAGCCATAGCCATGGTGAAAGCTATGAACAAAACATGTTTGTCAGGTCTTAGGGTGGGACTGAAATTTGACAAGTTTTCATGTTAGTGAGTGTCATTATCAGGGCATAAACAAAGAAGGCCATTCCAAATTCCAAATTCCAAATTCCAATTGATTATATGATATAGATTTAAATTAAATCTGCTTAGGATTCAGAATCCAGAGAGAAGGGGACTTGTTATTATAAAAAGAATGACAGATAAATTATGCGATAAGAGAAGTCGTCGTTTGGCTGTTGTCACGGTTAGGGCATACCCTTCCTATATGGCCTCAATCACGGATCGCTGTTAATTACTTTTGTTTTCTTCTTCAATTTTTAATTATTATATTTCTGTAAAGTATGAGCTAACTCACAAGTTAAGTTTTTTAAATCCTTGTTTTATGTTCTAGGATTGTTCTTTCATGTTTTTTTCTGGCTTTGGGATATTCCTCTTTACTTTACAGAGCGAAATTATTCATATTATAAACTTTATTTTTTAAATAAATACTAATTGCTTATAGTTTATTAAGCATGCGTTTTTAGATGTTTTTTTTTTTTAGCTCTTTGGCGTGCTTCAATTGAATTCATTTGGCTACAAGTATTACATGTCTAACTACTTAAAATAAAGTCCAGTTACTGATGGGTATAGAAATTATCAGTGTGAATCATCAGTTAATTAGAACAATAATAATGGCAAAAGTACTAGTGCTTTTACGTATGAATATTGATGGAGCCGAAGAAAATGCTAGATTTGGATTCTTTGGAGTTAGGGATTTGTCGCAACCAGTAAATCAGAATCATCTCATGAAAATTAAACAATCACTTATATTTTATCTCAATAAATCTAGCCTAAAATATGCATTTGAGATGCATGTGAAGGATATTTGTTAAAATTTTATGAGTTAACATTGCTTAACTATTTGATTAAATTTTATAGTATTAATATCAAGTATGAAAATTTATGATATTTTAATTGATGAACATTAGTTATTTAGACTAATAATTTGAACGAGTCTATTTTAGGTTGGGTCCTCAGTTAATTTCTAAATGACTAATTATTGCTATTGTTTAATGACCGTAAAATTATTACTCCATTAAATATTTTGTGAGAGACAAGTTATGGTAAACCCCAGCTTACGGATAGAGAGAATCTCTTCCTCATTTCTTTGTTTACGGTTTTGAATTGAACCAATAGTCATGTAACGAAGATTATCATTAATATATTCTCTCTATATTCTCTATTATAAGTGAAAAAAAAATTTTCTTAAATATGAAATTTTTTACTATTTTTATCTCATTTAATGATATTTTTCCTAAAATATTCATTTTTAATATATTATTTTTTAGTTGCACTACTTTTTTAATATTTATAAGAAGAACAATTTAGAAAGAATGTTATAAAATTAGTAATTAGTACAAACAGTTCCATTGATCTTATACAATATACATAAGACTTGTTTGGATAATTAAATTTCTTCAAAAGTTTTTTATGAGAAGAAAAAATGATATTTTTTTAAAAGTCAAAATTAATTAATATATAAACTAATTTGTAAAATTTTTCTCATATTAACTTCTTGAAAATATATATATTTTTAATTTATGTATAAGTTATTTTTAGTTAATGAAAAAATATTTTATTCATTTCTTAATTTTTCTCGTACAAACACTTACAGAAAAATTTGTTCAAATTCTCTGTATCGTCTTTTTATTTTTGCCCGTCTACTTCTCTTTATATTCACATCATTAATTGAGGCTGTGCAAATAACAAGCTAAGGGAGGGAAAGGGATTTAAGGTGGATATTTGTGCAACAATTATATAATTATTGAAGGAGTTGGATCACTAAATGGGGCCAAAGTTTGAAACTGGTGACAAACTCAATAGCTACCCCGTTTCACACATGTCAACCAAATTTAACAAATCATGACCATTGCTTACCTGACAATATCCACAGTCAACAAAAATTTATCTAAAATACATTAGTACAACTGTGATCAACCATTCAACCACAAATATATGTACACGCGATCAGCCAAGATATGTGTGAGCTACAACATGATAATGATTGCTTTGACCTTTTGAGCAAACAAGTAAAAAATGGTAGCGGTTGGTCCATACACTAAATATTTTTGTGTTGGATGCGATGACCGATGATGTAAAGCTAAAGCATCTCTTTGTTTCATCTTTTTTTCTTTGTTTTTCACACCGGCAGAAAGCTCTAATTAAATGGAAGAATAAGTGAAAGTCATCACAAATGAGAGGTCTACATTCTGTGTGAGGATCGATGCGATGATCAAAATAAAAAGTTTTTGTAATTTTGGGAAAGTATGCATAAAAATCTCACATTGGTTGAATATATATGCAGTATGATTTAAGCAGTGTCCTTTTAAATTAATATCCGTAGTTACCTTCTTAAATTGACTTTTGAAATTGAGTAATAAAATCTCGATTAACATTAAAATATTATAATACTCTCTGAAAACTCATATAAAATTAGTAAAAAAGTATTTCAAATTTTTTGACTTAAATACAAATAAATTATTCTAACTAATTTAATCCTATTTAATGTTATTATTTCAAAAACATCTCTTAAATTAAATGTAACTATTGTTTTCAATAAATATTATTAAGAGTAGTTTAGAAAATAAGGTCTAATTTTTATATAAAATCAATAAAATTAAATAAGCTTAATTAATTTCCTCAATACATGTGAATTTAGGTATTATTGTTTATATAAATGAGTTTTGAGTTAGTAGTAATTATTTAATTTAATATGTTATATTATATTTTTATCAGTTTTTTTTTTATATAAAAATTCTGTAATCAAACTAGAATTTTTATAGTGATGGAAATCAATTCACAGGAGCTCCATGTGTCATTTATGAATAGCTAATTGGATGTTTATCTTCTATTATTTTCTCGGGGGAGGGGGTGAATAAAATACGTGCGGGATATGCCTTGTTTGTAGAACATATATCAAAGGTTATATTTCTCGAAATTACCGCAAATGTAAAGATACATAATATGGAGTATAAAGTATAAACTAATCAGATTTCGGCAGCATTAATTTTCCATTTATATGCAACTAGTAAGACGAATCTTCTTGAACTTTCAGCATTTCAGCACATAATATACATACCTCCACAATGTGTTGTTACCTGTTAGTAGAAGTTTAAAATATCGAAACTTATAATTGTTTTTGGTGGTTAAAAATCAATCATTATCGTCCAAAAGATAACTAGTTGTGTAGTATACTTCTATTATTCTGAAATAATACACGATGAAATTTATAAATACATGCTTAGATACATCACAAGAAATCTGAACCATATATGACTTTTCAGTGTTTTCATTGTTTAGTAAAACTAGTCTCGAATTAATTTCAACTAATTATATGCAATATAACATTGCATTTTCACTACATGTATTATTTTTTGTTTTTAACACTATGATCATCAACGTGTCATCACACAGTCTAGCTCTTTGATCATCACAAGATATTTTGGTAAATTGTAAACTCTCATGACGTGAAGGTAAAAATCCGATAATGCAGTTTTACTGTTCATGCAAAAGCTGCATTGGTGTTACTGTGCTAGATATTACTGTTAAAGAGGAACTCATCCCCAAAGAAAGTATTACAAGTAGAACAGTGATGATAATTAAGTTAATTTCTATACATAACCAATTATTTGCTCAGTGACACCGAACTTCAAGTTATAACAGCTCGAGACTACTCACACCAAGCATAGATAATGGTCTACCAGTGCTTTTTTACCCACAGAAGACTGCTATATATATCCTATAATATAGATACTAGGGAAATGTGTATAAGCTAGCTACTTAACTATGTCAAAGTTACTTTATTGATGGTCAAATAATGCTAAATAGAAATGACCTTCGCATCATATGTATTCTTTGACCAAAAAGAACTTGAACTTAAGAGACCCATATATTTATACCTACTTATTAACGGCATGACTGTAGACTATATGGCACCGTCTCTATAGTGCACTTTCCCCGTTTGCCTAGAATTTATTTTTATCTTTCTGCAGGCATATGAATAAATAAAAAATATGTGAAAATAAAACAGTACATACATGTCAGTAATAGTCAAGTTTTTCTGACAAATGCTTATCTTGCGACCCTTGAAGTAATTAAAAAGAAAATAAATATTGTGTTTGTCCGCTAAAGAATGTGAACCAATTTGTATATTTGAATTAGGTCCAGTGCTGCAAAATACCTAGTTAGAACATAAAAAAGATATACTCAAATGACTCTCAAAATTACTTCCAAATAATACACAAACAAATCAGATAAACTGCACTGGCACTAACGGATCAGCACATGAGAAAGTCTCAGAGAACATACATACATATCGCTAGTTATATGTAACTCTAGCTGATTTTATTATTTATATGGGAATCAAATACAAGCTTCCCTTTTGCCAGCTTCAATTGGATACAGATAATTCCAACTTCCACCAATCGATAACAAATAATGTACACATGCATATTCTATTGCGGCGCCCCCAGGTAGCTCAACTCTTGAAAAGCACAATCTCGTGGCATCTCTTGCCTCACACCCTCGTAATTCGAAGCAACAAGAGGAGGATACATCAAAGAACTTGTCTCACCCCAATTAGTACTAATTTGCTCACAACTTGAAGAACCACTAACTATCTTATCGGTAATCATTTCCTCCCCATAGAAGAACTCCAACCCACCTAATAACCTTTGAGAATAATCGTTATTAGTAGAAACCATTTCCCCAATTGCTGCGGTGAAAGTGCCTTGTCCTTGCACCAACTCAGCACAGTACTCATTATTACTCTGACCAAATTGTACTTGGTTGTTGTTGCCAATAGAGTTCATGCACCCAGAAGAGCCAACATGGACTTGCTCCTCTTGGATTTGTTGTGAGAACTGAATATTGTTCAACCCATCAAGGATGGGTTGATAATCGCCGGAGAATCTCCCTCCAAGCTTGATTAGTAGTTTTCTGATAGAGTCTTGGTCGTTGAAACTTGGAGTTTGGTTTGTGTAGGGTGAAAGTGGCAACACAGGCCAACATGGCTGTAGTTGAGCGCTGTTTTCCTGAAGCAAGAGTGAGGAATTGTTGTTTTCCTGCTTAACCACACTGTTTCCTTTATTACGTGCCTGAAGTTCCTTACGGTGCTTCCCTAGAAGCTTCTTCTTCAGCCTCGTGTTCCAGTAGTTCTTTATGTCATTATCAGTTCTTCCCGGCAATTGTGCTGCAATGACCGACCACCTGCGTCACATGACACAAAAGGGTTCATTCCTCGAGCAAAAATCAAACTTGTAAATTTCTCTACCTAAGAAAACTCTTGATTTCTAATACAAAAATTTCCAGAATTTTTTGTAAGCTTGTACTCAAAGTCTCAAACAAACTCGAAGAAAATAAGAAAACAAAATCTCATACTAAAATCTAACTTGTCTGCTTCAATTTAAAAAGAAAAAAGGTTAAAATGAGAGACTTTCTACAAAAGTTAAGTACAAAAGTTTAGATTTATTTTATAGATTTACCTTTTTTGATTGTTTTCTTCTTTTTAAAGTATTTATGATATGGATAAGAACTTGTTAATTACTTCAGAACAGTTGATTTCAGAAAAGTAATATTGTTAAGATTTTTCTTTTTTATGTAAAAGCTACCTGCTTCCAATGCTAATATAGAGGCTGCAAATGATGTTGTCTTCTTCTTCTGAGAAGCCACCGTGCTTGATGTTAGGGCGGAGATAGTTTAGCCATCTGAGACGGCAACTCTTGCCACATCGTTTAAGACCTGATGCAGAAATGAAGATACATGAGAAGAAAAAAGAATATGTTCTACGATAAGTTAATTTCTTTACGGAATGAGGTGGTGACAAAAAAAATAGGGTTAACTATTTGAGTAGTAATACCAATCTTTTGTGGCAAAGCGATCCAGTTGCCTCCGGTTCCGTGCTTTTCGATGTAGGATTTGAGTTTTGCGTCTTCTTCTGGCGACCAAGGACCCTTCTTCACGTTTGCTTTGTCACAGCAAGGTGCCCTTCCCATCTTCTTTTTCTTTGCTCTCAGCTATCTTTGATTCATTATTTGGGGATATCCCTTCTCTATTTACGTTGATAATAATAGAGAGAGAGGAAGAGAGAGAATTATTTAATTACTTTAAAAAAGGGAAAGGATAAACATGATTCCAATTATGGTACAATTTTTATACAAGGGTAAAGGGTGTGGCAGAAAAGAAAGGTGTTTTATGTAGAAAATTCCAGGTATTTAGTACTGCTAGAATAAGGGAATAAGGTTCCTTCTTCTTGTCTTTCTTAAACCGGAATCAAATTTTCTTGCACCTTTTTAAAGTCCACTCCACTCTGACCCTCGTTGTCCAAGGATATACGAGCATACGACATGCTTATGACTCTTTCTTTTGGTCACTATTTCCTGTTTCTATACAAGATATATTTAATTGGTACACACATTGCACTCCTTATTTAAACCATAATTTATAGCATTAATTATGGGAACATTCTGTTAATATCGGATACTGCCAGTTTTTCATTTGGCGAGGAATCATGAGATGTACAGCCATAGGTATTGCTTAATTTTAAAATTTCCCCCGCGAAGACATACTAAAACATTTAAATTTTATTTGTTTTAACATTCACTCAAACTTGCAAATAAACATTATTCTGATATGGTTAGATAAATTAAAGTTTCTTCCATTTTTGGGTAGAAGAATAGAAAGGGCTGAAATTTCTCAAAATTAACAATTCAAACACATCTGACAGATTGAAGAGAATACAATTAATGCATCCAAATATAAATATAAATATATATTCCCACCTTTAAATAAAAAAGACATATATACATATGGCACAACTCTATCAGTAAACCTCTTAGTATCATAATAAACGGACAGTAAAAGTCTAACTTCGGTGATCATATGGTTGTAAAAAAAATAGCAACCCCTTCCTTTCTTTTATGCTACATGCACCTCCTAACTTCTGTTATCCCCTATAGATGCACCTCCTCTCTTACAAACGGTGTTAATTCCGTTGATTTTTCCAGTTACTTGGTTATCATGTGGGTTTTAATGCAAAATCTAAAGACATTAATTTATCTCTATCATTGAAAACCTATTGGCACCACCAAAACAACCGGGGCAAAACTATATACACATTGTAATTAACGTTCGTACACATTTTTCTCATTAAGTGAGTTTCGTTAATTATTTTGATTGAGATTCGTTAATGATTTTTTATGAGTGCTATGTTTGGAAAACATATGAAATACATATGTAGATCTTGTAATAAAGTAAGGGAGTGTATGTGTAATAGCTTTAATATCTCGTGGATACATCTGTAATTATTTCAACAAAAAATAAATCTCTCGAAATGCATGTGTAATGTTTTTAAATGGAGGGATGCATGTATAGTTATAGGAAATATTCTCAAGGAGTGTTACTGTAAATACATCTAAAAAAATATCAGTTCAAAAAATTGAATTTATATATATCCGCATATTTCATGCAACAAATCCAATTTTATGCTTCTGAAATATTACAAGGTTCTATATATTTTAAATCACATGTGTTATTGTTAGCAATAACATCTAGATTCTGAAACAAATAATAAACCCAACTACACATAAATAACTCATTAGATATATATAAATAACAGTAACAAATTTATAATGTCCTATTTATGTCTCGTCCATAGAAGATGAATCATACACTCATACACATAGGTTTGACCAAATGATTTAGCAAGTAATTACAAATTAAAGAGAGTTTAGGTTTTGATAATAATTTTATTCGATGTAGATTAATTCCAATAGTCAAAATGTAGTATTCAGATACAGGAAAAAGATCGAAGAAGAAAAAAGGTTTGACAATATTTAAGTTATTCGTGTGATGACTATTTCGAATATGATATGATTTCTTTTATTATTAAAATTAAAGAATATTTAATAAGAGATTCTTTTTATTATAAACTTAATCTTTCAAGTGTGGTGTAACATATTGTTATATAAGGTAAATCCTAATGTAACTAACACTATCCTATAAAGTAAGCATGTTAATATAAGAGCCTTTTTTTAAAATTCAAAAAATAATTATATGGCATTTTTTCAGGCTTTATAAAAAAATTATTTTATATAATAAAATAATTAAATATTTAATTTTTTTAAAAAAATTAAATTAATTAAAAATCATTAAAAAAGTATACACCATATAATTATAATGACCAATATATTGATCCTCCATCTACATTTTTTTTCTTTTTTTCCTTGCACCTCTGCCTTTTATTTTACTCTATGGATAGTCACACGAAGAGCAAACCTTAAAGTAAATACAAAATACATAAAAGTAGGCAATAGGACTATTAAAATCGGCTTAATAATAAATAAATTAAAATAATATGTGTATGATTTAGATTTATATTCTATTGTTGTCATTATATAACTAAGTTGGTAACCTGTGCGATGTATGGGTAAATTTTTTAATTAATTTATAATATTATTAATATATTATTTTAAATATATATAAGTTACACAATGAATATAATATAATATATAATATATCAATAAAATCCAATATTTTAAACAATACAAATATTTAAATGATCACGTTATATTGTGATTAATAAATATTTATTTTTAAACAAAATTTTAACTTGATAATTCATTTATCAATGTTATAAAAAAAATACAAAATAAATAAATTGTATGAATTTCATAATTTTAATGATGTATTTAATCAACAAATTTGTATAAAAAAATTATATTATATAAAAGTTACACATAAAAAATATTATATTTAACTTAAATTTAAAATAATTTAATCTGATCTAATCATATTATAACATTAAGGAATAGATGAAATTCTCAATCACGTGTTAAATTAATCATTTTATATAAAATGTGTTTATAAATGTTTTTATCTAATTTTGAGGGGTTGATTTGATAAAAGAATATAGAAAGAACTACTACTTATCACTTAAACTTTAATATCATTAGTTTAAAAAATATAAAATTTTAGTAGTATAATATAAAAAAATTTCTTAGAATGTGGAAAAATTTTAAATACTTATTGGAAAAGTTCCATTTTTTTTATCAGCCAACAAATATTTGTATTAATATATAAAGGTACAAGGGGTACCAAAACTCATATACATAAGATAATTAGAAGGTTATAATACCCTTGGTTAAAACTAATTTGAATTTGTAATATCAAATTATATTTTAACCAGGGACTCCAAAAAATAGATAACAGTTTAGGTACATAAAACAACCAGTACCATGGAATACATAATCCTTCTGAGGGTGACCCATCAGTTCCAGTTAAGTACTTCCTTAAATGTAATGCCAAGATTAATTGACCATAAGTAGAAAGGAATATGAAAATTGTTTTGCTTTACACTCAACCACTTTCAAGCTGTGAGGGTGATTTCCTTCATTAATTTTTGCTGAACAAACTAATTATGCTTGAATACACATGCGTTTCTCTGATTCCAAATATTCCAAGCAATGACATATCATATGGCCCTCCATTTTTGTGTTTTTTCTTTTGAGTCAAGAACAGCTGGAATAAAGTTGAGATGCATTATAGATCTTTTGGGAGAACTGTTGTTGTATTCAACCAAAGAAAACACTCATTCCATATAGCATATGTGTTACATTGCAGGTTAAAAGGATATGAGAGATTGTCTCAGGTTGATCATGACAGAAAGGACAGGAAATGTCTTCCAATGCTATATTCCTCCTCAAAAAGTTATTGGTAGTAGGTAATGCATTATGAAAAAGTCTCCATAGAAAAATATTGAAAAAGTTCCGTATCTAATTTTTTAAGATACTACAAAATTGTACGATAAATCATGTATTAATTCTATGTTTTTATAATTAAACTTTATATTCTACATTTCATTCATGTGACTTTATTTTATATATATAATATAATTTTCATATGAATAAAATTACATATAATATCAAAATATAACAAATTTAAATTTATCCTCATAAAAATATTTCATTAGTTTTATATCAATTATGAGAAGATATAAAATAAGAAACTAATAAAAACTTACTAAATAACTAATTTTAAAAATTAATACTACTAACATAACAATATAATTATTTTATTTTAAGGAAAGATATGAGTTACATGCGTAATCTTTTTGACTTTTCAACATATTTCACCAAAATTAGACTCCTTAATAATAAAATATTTTAAAAATATGTTTAAAAGATTTTAGAGGGACGGAAAAAAAAAATATAGACACCAAAATTAAAATATATTCATTTTACAGAGACCAAAAATATATTTAAATAATTTTTGATAATAAAAGATTTTAAAAATAATGAAGGCTCTTTTTAAAATTTGCTAAATTACTTTTATTTATATTGAAATTACTCTCGTTAAATAAATAACTGACATATCACTATTAAAATATATGATTAGTTGTCAGTGTAAAAAAGTTTTACACTGACAGTGTATAAGTGATTAACTATATATATATTAATTATAAATGGTGTATAAAAGTAATAACAATTCTTATTTCTTAACTAACTTTTAACATTAAGTTATACTTGCCCAAATTCTGACACAGAGGAACTCAAAATATGGAAGCTAGAGCTACCTTTATTCTGTTCCTTCACTATTTTCTACTTGTCTCTATCAAACCCTAGGATAAAAACCTTTAAAAAGAGCAATGATTTTTGGACGCCAATATTATAAACACCTAATCAACACTTTTAATTTTTCTTTATTTTTTCTTATTCTATTTTATCACTTATTATATCTATTTTTTTCTTCTAAGATGTCAGCATAATATTTGCGTATGTATCAAAATATATTTTTCTATTCAAAAATTATTGTGAACGGAATTTATGACACCCCTTGCTTCGTCGGCAGGCTGTTAAAAACGAAGCCTCTTAATTTATCTTTTAGAGCAGCTAGCTTCTTGAAAATATTAAAAACCAATGTACTTCAAAAGGTTCATCTTCCATATAGTAGAATAAAAAATGAGAAACAAAAATGATGAGAAGGTGTTGCCATGAGCCCGTAACAACAAAAGAGTATCAAGAGAAGTATAATTTACACTGAAAATTAAGGAGAAAAAGTAATTAATCGCACAGTCTAAGAATTTGAAAGAGAGGGAGCAAGTCAGACTTGAGAAAGAAACAAAACTTTAGGGTGGTAATTTCGTGGGGTCAGTAATTGACTAACCAAACTTCACCCAAATGAGAAATTTAAAACCATGATGTTGAAAATTATCATCAACTATCAAATTCA